AAACTAGTAGGAGCTGTCCTGCTTGATTTAATGGCAGCTTTTGATATTCTCAATCATGAAATATTATTGAAAAAACTAGAATGTTATGGTTTCTCTCAGTCAGCAATATTATGGATGAAAAGCTATTTAACAAACAGGAGACAATTTGTCTATTTCAATGGTAGTTATTCTGATGTTGGAGAGGTCAGCTGGGGAGTGCCCCAAGGAAGCTGTCTCGGACCATTGCTATATACGATATTCACAAATGATTTACCACTTGTTTTAAATAAGGCTACCATATCGATGTATGCGGATGATTCAACTATATACATGTCAACAACCACATCTTTTGAGTTAAACACATTGCTTGTCTTGGAGTTGCGATCGGTGGTTGAATGGATAGAAGGAAACAAGTTAGTTCCTAATGTTTTAAAGACGAATAGTGTTATATTTGGCTCAACTCACACTCTTCAAAGTCAACCTGAGTTGAAGCTCTGCATAAATGAATTATCAGTCAAACAGGTCAAAGAAACCAAACTCCTAGGTGTCATTTTATACAGTAAATTATCATGGACAAAACATATCAATAAAATGGTTGCTAAAATGGGAAGCAGTATTTCAGTAGTTAAAAGATGTGCAGTATTTATGTCACAAAGCTCAACTAAACTAGTGATTCAGTCTCTAATATTGTCCAATCTAGACTATTGTCCTGCAGTATGGTCTAGTGCTACACTGGAAAGTTGCAAAAAGTACAGAATAGGGCAGCTCGCATAGCGCTACACTGTGGCTATAGGACAAATGTTGCTGGAATGCACAATTATTTATGTTGGTTACCTGTTAAAAATAGATTAACTTATTCATTACCAGTATTTTTTAAAAATATAATTGCAGCAAAGAAACCATCTATTTTGTATAAGAAAATATCTTTTAGTTCAGATAGACATGACTACGCGACCAGACATGCTACAAGAGGAAATTTTACTTTACCAAAAGCAAGGACAAACTCAATTAAACAACTGTTTTACACATATGATACATATATAGACATCGGATGAAATATATTTATATGTAAATGTTACATATACCCTTTGCTGACCTGTAGGAGCTGTCGTGTATGTGTATTGTCTTATGTTTTTGTTTTGTTTTTCTGTATTGTTATGTGTGATTATGTGTTGTAAATGGAATAATTGTGTTGACACAATGTAAAGACTGTTGAAAGGACCCCAGGAAGAATAGCTGTTGCTGTACAACAGCTAATGGGGATCCTAAATAAAACAAACAAACACTGATACTGTACAAAACAACGTGTAGTGGAGGAATGTAACTGCGCATATATACATGAGTATTTCCAGTTTATGACACTGCTTCTGATGTGTTTAGAGAATAATATTACTTTTTACTCCACTACAATTGGCAGCTACAGTTACTGGTTTCGGAGTGAGATTTTCAATAAAAACATTTGATGGGTTTATCAAAACAAATGTATAGTTACAGATTAAACCAGTGGCTCCTGATATGTTTAGGTTTGTGACCCCTCAAATATGTCTAGTTCAGGGCCCCATATCAAAATTGAGATGTTTATGAGTTATTAAACGTTCTACCAAAGCAACACTTCCCCTCTAAACTTCCCAAGAGGTTTCTTTTAAATAACAGAGTAGGGCCAAACAGGGTTTAATTATAATTTTCTTTTAAAGCAAAGACTGAGCGAATAAACAATACAAACTTGAAACAATCTAAACTGTACTTCATAATAACATATCAGTCATGGGGGGAATTATTCTGCAGAATGAGTACTTTTACTTTAAGTATTAGCCTAAATAAAGTTGATAAAACCTCTGTGTAGAGTGTACTGTATGTTGTGCATTTGTAATTTTACCTAAAGGAGCTATATGTGACATCCAGAGCATACCCATGATTCAGAGTCAGATTCAGGTTGTCTCTGCACACGGTTCTCAACATGGAGGTGTAGCAGCTAATAATGCTGACAGCATGAACAGTGCTAACAATTGCAACAGTGCTGACAGAGCTAATGGTGTTAACCTGGGGGTGAACCAGAAGGTGGGTGTTATGTTTTCATGATGACACAGTCATTGTTAACAGTGGTAACTGCTGTATGAGCGCAGTACAGGGCAGTGGTGATTAGTGTACCAGTAGGATGCACACCCACAGACCCACATGCACTCAAGTGCACAAACGCCATGTCTATCACAGCAATAAAATGAGAAGGTCGCAATACTACAAACACACAGAGGTAGTGTGACTTCATTCTCTGCTCAGGATGCTGTTACTCTAATATATCTTTACATGGCAAATAGTGGTTTGATGCTGTATTAATGTTTCTAATGTCTCATACAGCACCTTTAAGTTGAAGACCTGAATACTTCTTCTACTGCTGGTTTCACACAAAAAATGACCTTAATTGACCCTTTGCTAAGCCCCGCCCCCCTTAGTTACTGTTGCCACGTCTGTCAAGCTTTCGCTCCTAACATAAGAAATATTGAGTTTTCAGTGATATCAGAGATATTCCAAAGGAAATAACATCAAATTTCTGGAAAAACTGTTTGGAGATATCAGAGAGAAGCCAACAGAAAGGTCTTCAATATGCATGTGAGAGCTACCTTCACAGTATCATCTGCTGGCAGAGTATAAATCACGAGAACATTAAAATAGAGGGGAAAGCTCACCAGTCGCAATGCAAGTGCCAAGCACCCCACGTGTTGACACTTCACGTGAAGGACAAATACAGGAACACAGAAGGTTCAGCGGGGTAAGTCAATATACAGTTTAAATTTAAGTTAATGTTGCGTTATGTTCCCTCCTTGGGGCAGCTAGCACACAAAGCTAGTGTTAGCTAATGTTAGTTAGCATCTTAACTTGGGACAAACGTAGGTGTTTTTATTGATCTTTGCTGGATTCAGCTGTTCGTGTGGTCTTCCGCACTGTTTAAGCCATATCTGGCATCTCTCTCCTTGGGTCTTGGGCTTGGGGAAGGGGAAAAATTCAACACCACCTTCGACACTTTTTGGGTATTAGGTGTCGGACTTGCAGGTAGCTACCGTATGCACACTGCTTCGGCATATTAGCTTCTGCTGAAAGCTTGACGGACCTCTCGGTTGCTACACACGGTTGCTAACGTAGGATTGGACAGTGACTGTTTAAGGGAGAGGCTTAGTGAAGGGTCAATTGCCATTTGGTGACAGTGATGCATGATTTTGTGGTTTAGTATTAAAGGTCCAGTGTGTAGGATTTAGTGGCAACTAGTGGGGAGGTTGCAGCACTCAAACTTCTCCCGTTTGCCAAGCGTTTGGGGAACTACAGTGGTCAACGCTATAAAGCAACTCTCTAGAGCCAGTGTTTGATTTACTGTAAAAACAACATGGCAGACTCCACTGAAGAGGATCTGCTCTGTATGTAGAGATAAACGTCTCAATGTAAGGCAATGAAAACACAAGTCTTATTTTCAAGTGATCACAAACTAATGAAAACATAGATACAGATGCTCCTAAATCATACACAATGACTGGACATCTGAGTAAAAGATTTAAATACTGTTTTTTTCTCCACTAGTTTTACACAAGAAATAACATTTAGTTACAGAGACTCATGTTATTTTGGTGTAGTATTAAAATTCTCTGACTTTAGAAACAGGGATCAATGAGCCACATTGTACAGGAACAGGTCACATTCAATTTACGAGATACATTTACAGGTTTATGAAGACATTTTGCGGAAACATGCCATGTCAGTATCATTATCAGATGACCCTAAACGGCCTCTTTCACACATTAAAACTAAAATATTTGGCGCATTATGAATCAAACTGGAAAAAAAAGACACATCAATTCATTGGTGCTACACAGCTCCTGCTTTAATGTGACTCACGTGTTTTACAGTGAGCTCCGAAGAAGCCAGGTGGGCAGCGACACACTCCAGGATACACGCAGATCTCATCCTTCTGGCAGGCCTGCTCACCCTCACAAACAGCTGCACACACACACACACACACACACAGCACACCAGTTAATGGGACACTAGGAAACAAAGTAAAAATGTCGGCATTAAAAGCACAAGCGCAGATCGCTGTTCATGAGAACAGTTAAACTCACGTATGGTGCATTCATTTCCCTCTTGACGCCATCCAGTACAACAGACGGGGGTTGAGGGGTTCCTGAGTTTATAGAAAATAATAAAACACTCAGGAAAAATCAAACACAAACACCTGCAATAACCTGAGAAAATAATTAAAAGGAGAAAATTGAGCCTGTATTCAAACTAAGGAGCTGTCCAGCACGATCCTGTACTCACTGAGAAGGTGGAGCTCCCTGAGAAATACCTTAAGGAACTACAATGAAAGTAGACTTGTACCTGATATTATAGCAGACGTTTCTCCCAGCAGGATCTAGTTGTTGTGAGGAGGACAGCGAGCAGCAGAGCAGAGCACTCAGAGCTCTGAGGAGAAGCTTCATCTCCACAAAGTCCGAATCCAAACCTGAGTGTCCAAATATCTTTCTCTAATGTCTGTTCCTGACTTTCTACTCAACTCGCTTTCCGTCCAGTCAGAGGGGGCACAATGAGAGGCAGTATCTCTCTCTCTCTGTCCACCCACCACCCTTCCCTCCTTCTTTCTCTCCCGTGAGTCGTCTTGTGGCTCCAGCGTAGCCAGAGAGGTCGAAGCCCCCGGGTTTCCTCTTCCCATTTCCTGGGGAAGTCAGAGCCACTTCCTTCTATTCAGCCAGACACAGAGCTTTTTAAAGATGGTCGAACACTAACATACAAAACTCGCCGCACACACTGGCAGGGCTCGTACAGATGCAAACACACGCCCCTGATGTCCACCTTGTTCCCAGAATCTATTGTTGACGGTCTTCCAGGAGATGATGAAGAACGCCTTCGTACTCCTTATAAGTCAGTACAAAGACGACCACATGATCACTGTGAGTTTTCATTCAAGAGCAGCAACATTTGCCACTTTTGAATCAAGTATTGTGTCTTTTCTTCTTGAATTATGGGGACAAATGAGATCAGTTCAATATTCAATTGTGTTTAATGGACTTTTATTGAATCTTGAAATCTCAATTTCACAGAAGATCCACATTTTGAATTGTTTGTATCACGTCATCGATAAAATTCACTCACATGGCAACTGACATCTTAAATCTGTATTGTCAGAACTAATAACATGCTTATAAAAATAAATTGCAAACAGTATTTTAGAAAACATGATCTGATTGGAAGGTTGTACATTGTCTCTCAACAAATACATCACTGGTCTGTCATTGGCTGTGTAGAGTTGAGTTCAGACATTTAGAGGGGACAGAGGGATCAGACTTTATGTTAGAGCTTTGGTTCTCTGCCCAAACCAGACTGGGCCCGACCTGAACCTGCCGTAATTTCTCATCATTCACCTGGGTTTGAACCAGGTCGGGTTCTCGCCAATCTCCCGGAGTTAGAATGTTGTATTTTCACATGATTCACTTTCACTGTGCTTGGCGCTCTGCTGCTCTGTCTCCAGATTTCGCTCTGCAGCTCCAAGAGTGTGGTGTTCTGACAGAACGGTATATTCCAACAGCAACCCAAATTTATTGGTCCAGTTTGTGCCAGAGTGCACTCTGGTGCTCGGAGTGGCTATTTACAAACGCATCCCGTGACACAAATGTCCATGCTACACTAAAAAGACTTAAGTTGACTTTATCTTATAATAAATAACTCAATATATATATATATATATATATATATATATATGTATATATTGTATTTATTTTTTAAACTTTACCATGGAAATCCAGGTTTTAAAACCTGCCGTGGTTCAGGCTTGGGTCAGGTTTGGACAGGTAGGTCGGGCCTGATTTTTTGGGCCTGATTGAAGCTCTACTTCATTGCCACTTTTCATAGTAGTGGGAACTAAAAATAAAAAATGGCAGTTCTCATCTCTGTAAGAAAGCTCATAGCTTCCTTTTTAAAAAAAGCAGTGTGTAGGATTGAGGGGGGATCTACTGACAGAAACTGAAGACAGTATTACTTATGTTTTCAATAGTGTATGATTACCTGAAACAAAAACTTATTGTGTTTTCGTTAGCTTAAAATGAGCGTTTCATATATACATACTGGCTCTGGCTCTAGAGAGGGCCTTTCATATTTTTGCCATACCTGAAGGCCACCGAGGAGTGAGTGGAGGAGGTGCAATCTGCAGCCCCACCTTCAAGATGCCACTAAATCCTACACACTGCTCCTTTAACGTAAAGCAACCAATCAGCAGAGGCTGGCACACCAGCCTGAATACATGTGCTCACACACACATATACACATTTATGGCACAAGCAACAAACACAATCAGGCCAAAGGCTTCGACTCAATGTCTAAAATTAAGAAAATATATTTTTAACAATATAAGCAGGTGAGTTAAGGCTCAAGGGGTCAAAATGCACTCACTGCTGGAAGAGACTGGTAGTATGACTGCGATGTTCTTTTCCTGTCCTTGAGAATAAAAGTGCTTTAAATTATTAAAAATACACAAGTGAACACGTGGCTTAAAAATTCCCCTAGTGAGGTAAAAGTTACATCATACATCTCTGGTAAAAGCTTGATTGTTAAAATGAACCAGCGCCCTCTTATGGCACAGAGATGAACTCATACATATTCTGTTCTCATTACCAGAGGGAAGAGTTTCACCTAAGAAATATAGCTTTGTAATGTCTTTGGTTTCTGTTAAAAAAATTTGAGGATCTGTATAAATATCTGCTTAATAACCTGTTTTTCCACGATGAAGGATCAGATGATCTCTTTTGCAGTGAGTTAAAAAGTATCCCTCTTAATACTGCGGTACACTGTACAATTTATACTGTAGTACTAATATACTGTATGTATTTATTCCTCACTTCTGTTAAAATAATAAGGGGATTTAGGGCAAGAGATACAAAAGATACATAGTGCTTTTGTGTTATATACACTGGGGCTGAGTCCCAAATGTCCTCGTAATCACCTTCCAAAGCCAAAACCACATTTTCCACTAAATCATGAGGGAGAGGTTGCGACTGAGGGAAGAAGGGCGTCTCACAGTGTGAACTCCATGATACTGTGGTGAGTACCAGGCTCAAGGGGACGGTCGCTGCCCCGTCTCATCAGCTGCCTCTGAGTCTCCGATGATTTCCCAGCTGGAGGCGGAGTTGCTCATGTGGGTGGGGCTCCGGCCGCTGCCCGACCGTGTCAGGAAGCCAAAGCTGTAGACGACAGAGTAGAAAAGACAGGCCCGAGGTCAGATCTGCAGCCAGGGATTACAGCTAAATATAGTCTAGGATTGACTAAATTCTCAGGACAGTGACAGCGGCAGCAGAGACAGAGGGAGATGAAACAGATGCTTTATTCTCAGATTACATTTATAGAGAGCTATAGTGCAAAGTGCTTCAGTTGTTACAATTAAAATGACCATTCTTCTTCATCAATGCTCTCTACTTGTTTCTTTTTGGAGACTCTAGGCTAAAAAATATATTCTTTTATGTTTCTTATTGAATTGTAGATCATCAGTAGCAGAGGTAGCAATGCTGTATGCAAAATAGATACATTAGACTGGTTGTCTAATAAAGCTAAGAAGCTCCCTGACACGTCTTGACCAGCTGTATGCTCAGTCAGTGTTTGGGGTTGAAGAAAATTTTGAACATTGTAAATTGAAATTGAAATGAATTTGTATACAAAATGTACAGAAAGGTAAAAACATCAAGTTTTGAAAAAGTATTGCAATTTAATTTTGTCTTTAATATTATTATCTTATATTATCTTTGTAATATGATTATCTTATATAATGTTATTACTATCCTAAAACATTCTCGAAGGCGTAATGAGAGTTTACTCAATTCGCCATGGCGGAAGAGAGGAGCAGTGTCAGATGGTCAAACTTCTCCCAGGAGGAAACTGATGTTTTGGTCCGGGAGGTCCAAGCTCGCAGTGTCCGAATATACGGAACTGCGAGCAGACCTCCACGGGCTGATGATGCAAAGGTAGCCTGGGAGGAGGTCACCACAATTGTAAATCAATGTTGTGTTTCTCTCGTGCACGCGCTCTCTCTTTCTCTCTCGCAGTCTCACTCTGTTTCTTTTCTTTTGACATTTCTAAGATGACAGATGCTGAATATATACTCCCTATCTGATGCTGTGGCTGTTTGTGGTTGGCTGAGAGGGATGTGAACTCATTAGTTTTGTTAATCAAATCAGGTTGGGTTTCCATTACGCGTGCCAAACGGTGCCAAACGGTGCCAATCCCCTTTGATCTGACATCAGATGTGACGGGACAGTCGATATAGAGATACATTTATGTGCTGATTGCAGATAGTTGCAATGAATAGTGGTTTTGTGGCAATTTATTGCATCGTTAATGTGCCTGATATTCTGGAAACCTGCCTGTGAGGTTTTGGTGACGTGTGCGCACTGTCCGCCGGTCAGCCAAACTTCGGCTTACACCGGCTGTGCTCTGCCTGCGCTGACAGTAGACCTGGTTTCAGATGGCGAGCTTTTAGCGCACCTTCAGCGAAGCCTTTTGGTACGAAACTGTCACTGCGCCAAGCTGGATCTGTCGACACCTCCCCCTGCTGCGCCGCCACACCCATCTCAGCGCACCTCGGTCTGTCAAACTACCAAACTGAGCGTGCCTCGGGTTGCGCTGCTCGAAACTAGCTCTGCACGGGGTTCGCGCCCTTTGACTTATTTCCACCCTGCTGACAGTGGGACTTATATTCATTGTGCCGACAGTGGCTTGGAAAACCGCCCATAACCGTGTCACACGGGGAAGAGGGAAAAGGGAAGGCTGCTGAACTTCCTCCAACATTTGCGGTTAGATTATCATATCTTTTTTATTGACAAAAATATAGGCTGCTTCGGCTGATTTTTTTTATGGGCACATGTGCCCCTAAATATTTTTTACAGTTCGCACACACTTATTTTTAGTCGACTGAAACGCTCGCACTGTCGAGCGCTGGATCTGACAGCCTGAGCACATCAGCACAAAACGCTATGGCGTTCGAGATATTATTTATATCATGAGAAGTCAATACTTTCGGCAGCCTAAATCTTTTATTTAGAAACTATGGCGGGTCAAATTAAACTATGGCGGGCCGCCACAGTTTCGTTAATTAATGGGAAACACTGGCTCAGTTCATGCCAGACAGGAGTCGTCAAACACATTCTCCACTTAATCAAATACTCAGTCAAGAGGCTTTCCCAGTACATTCCCAAAGTCGCTGGGTAAATAAGATTTCCTTAGCTCCTCGTAGTTCACTGTCTATTCTTCAAAGCAGGTAAACATCCTCTATCTCAACACGAACATGAGTAACACGCCCACTTAAAATCTGTTCTGTCGATTTGCTGAGTTACTACCTGTTGAATACACTCTACATTTTGTTTATAAAAGCCTATAAGACCTTATATTACTCCTAAATAAGGCGTCATACTTCAGTTAGTTCACATCTATCTCAGGACACGTGTCACGTGTTTGACATTTCTCTCTCTCCCTCCCATGCTTCAAGCAAAATGGGATTAGGAAAATCCTGAGCTTTTCTGTCAAGACAAATATTAGTCTGATCTCTGTGTTGTACCAAGAGAACACAAATACCAGAAAAACTGTACACATCTACTGGCCTACATAAAAACAGTCTGTTCTTTGGACATATTACTAAAGAGAAGCACAGTATCACACATACATTGAAGATTACTAGAAATATATCAGGGTCCAGCATGCCAGTCACTGGAGCCATGAGGAACACAGACCTTTATACAGTTTAGGGCTGAAACGAATGTCTTTTCTTTTTTCAAAGCTTATTTATTGGGCCTTTTTATTGACGTTTCAAATGTCTGCCATCATATTTTATGACTGACCTAAAAAAAATGTCCTTGAATAAAATCCTCAATTTGATCAAAGTGATTCATCAGATTAAATGAGTTAGTCTTTTTAATCAAATCAACTCTCTGTGATGAATAAATGCAACTTATGGTGCTGTTAGGTAGAAGAAATATAGATGAAAGAAGAATATTTCTTGGATAAAAACATGCTGTGAATTTCGGAAATTATTACATCTATCCTTTTTTAAATTAACTTTGACTTTGGGACTTCACAACTCTCTGGAGTTACTGGAAATGTTTCGATCACACATGTCAGACACAACCCTGAACAGCCACCACTGGAATCTAATTTTAATTATCTAATTATAGTATAATATTAATAATATTAGTGTAACTCGATTTTAATCTGCAACTGTGCAGAAATAACGGGCTAAACAGAATGAAGCTTCAAAGCTCCGACCTCTTGGGTACAGCCCTGATTACAAACACTGTAGTAAAAGGAAGGAGGATACATCACTCAACACATCTGCTAAAGTCAAAGGAAACACAAACAGCTCATGACCTTATGCAGACCTCAGATCACCTCAGTCAGTTTTCCTTTCTTTTCTTTTTTTAAAATCAACACCATAAAGCACTGCATGCGAGGAAATGAACTTGTGTTTTTCAGAGAAAACATGCAGAACAGGTGCTGAGTAAAAACACCAAACCCCACTAACATAAGCCTAAATGAGGGCATCGTTTCTGCAGACTGGCACTGTGGTTTCAAATCCGAGCGATGCAGCGTCACATTGTAGGTCGAAGATATACTCACAGGTTTCGTATGCGTGACTCAGCTGGTTTGTCAGTTCCGTCAACTTCAGTCCCGTCTACTTCTGTCTGTCCAAACAGAGAGCTCCTCTCCTCCTCGTCACTGGCAAGAAAACAACCGTTAAAAAACTGTCAACAGGCCCATTTTTTCTGCATATGATTGTGTGTGTTGGCTGTGTTTAAAAGAGACCTGCTGCTGCATTCGTTCACAGGAATCCCGAGCATCTTTGCCTTAATGAGCTTTCTCCGTTTACTGATGGTGGAGCGGACGGCTTCTAATAGGAAACCTGGACACCTCTCCTCACTTAGGATCTCCCTGCAGAATCACAATCATTTTTATTTACATGTAGAATCGCTAGGAAACTATATCACCTGCAACAGTCAATGCATCTGCATTTAAACTGACCTAATTTGCAAACAAGACATGTCTGCAGATACAGTCAGTACACCCACCTCTGGTAGTAGTTGAGCTCCTCCTGCACCAGGAAGAGGTTAGTTTTGAGCTCGTTCCTCTCGAAAATGATGTCACGCACCTCCTTCTTGGTGAAACACGGCTGATCTGGATCCTTCTGATCGACTGTCGACTTTTTATTGGACACAGGAGCTGTTTGACTTGAACTGAACTGATGGGAGAACAGAGAGTCGTCAGGTAATACTGACTACAAAACTACCTATAACTGAGCTCATTAGATGAGGAAAGGTATGCTGAGAGTCTGTTTTGGTTGGAGTAGGCCTGAAAGCAGCTGTTATTTTATCAGTAGCACAACCTTAAAATTCACTTTTTAAATCTTCAAAGCTTGTCCAATTTAATACCATAAATAAATGTAAAAGCATCTCTGAATTCCCGAAGCAAACACACTTTAATAATGTAAAGCAAAGGAAACGAAGTATGAAGTAAATGAAGTATATGTAAGAGTCATGCATACGGGGCCGTTGCTGTTGGTTCTGTCCAGCTGTTTTTGGAGGATTTCTATCTCTTTGCTTTTCTCCTTCAGGTCGGCCTCCATGTCAGCCTTCCTCTCCACTGTGCTCTTCAGCTGGGTCTGCAGCACGTTCTGCTTGTGTCGCAGCTCCGCATTCATCTTCATGAAGCGCTCTAGCTGCTCCTGGAGCTGCACACACACGCACACACACACACACACACACATATGAAGTATAATTTAGGCCCAATCCCATTTCTACCCCTTAAATCTTCCACTTGGTATTGAGTGCCCCCGTTTGTGAGATAACCCTTGATGAGGGAAGAAACATTAGGGTAGAGATCTTTCCCTAAGAAATGAGACACCACTTCATGCAAATCACCGTGGCCGACGTGCAGGCATACTATATGTCACGCGTAGTAGCGACGCAAGATAGTGGTAGTCATTCAGGTTTGAAAATGCCGGCTCCAGCGCTTGTGCTGTGGTGTGTGCTATATTTATTCTTCTCCGTCTGATGAATCAATGGAGAAGAAATGCTGAAAACAGGAGGCGCCTACAACGTCTGCTAGTTCTGATCCATTTTGTTTCGGTTAGTCCATTTGTTTAAATATTTCGACGATGTGTTCAACCGAGTTGCTGATGAGTTGACGCTGGTCCAACCATCTGTTGTTTGTATAGCCTACATTCCGATCGTACAGTAACAAATTGTTTTCCAAAACTTGCCGAAGTTGCTGACTTCGCAAGGTGTTCTGGGAAATTTCATCTTCCACTTCGTTGGAAGTGTGGGTCGGGGCTCCCTTGGAATCTGGGGTGGGGTTTAAGTGTTGGAAACCACTTCCACTACCTCAGTTCTGTTTTGGGACACCACTAGCCTAAACGTGAACACGCACAACCAAGTGCAAGTGGGTATTTCTAGGGGAAGTGTGGGTATTGGGACAGGCCCTTAATCATGAGCTACAGCAAGTATAAATATGGAAGAGGTTTAAAATCAAACAGACAGTTTCAGATTTCCCACCAGGTATAAATTTAGTTGAACGCAAACAAGTCAGGGTTGAACCAAAGAGACAATCTATCTGCATCTGGCTAATGATAGCAGCAGCAGAAGAGTGGGGGTGAAAATGTGTCCATGCATGGGATTTGGACCAAGAGTCTGGGGGAAGGCGAGGGCAAAGAATGAAACCACACAAGTGTAGCATTCATTTTAAGGATGGAAAAATCCCAGGCATCCATCTGAGCAAACAGAGAAACTAGTTCAGTTGACCATGAGCTGTTTTTTTTTTCAGACTCAAGTCAACTGACTGGAGGCAAAAAGCAAAGCATTAACACACACACCCTGTTATGGTGACTATTTAAATCATGTGGTATACATGTCTTAACACACATACAGACACGTGCAAAAACGCACATAAGAACCCACACACACAGAGTGGCAGTGTGGGGGTGAAAACTCTGCCCAGACTTGTGTTAAGTGCAGCTTAATCCTCAACCAGTAATTATGTGGATAATCGCTGCACTCTTCCCTCTTTCCCAAGACACACTTTCTGTCTTCCTGTGCGCTTATTGGTGTGGTTTATATGACGTAGCATCTGATGAGCTGATCTTTTGATGCTCCCTGTGATACCTGATTGTGTAGTGTGTGTGCAAGTAGTAAAAAACTTACAATCTTATCATGACACAAATATAATAAACACTTGTTTCTATGAGAAAAGCCAGCGTGCCTTAAGGAAACTGACCTTTGTATCCACAGCCATAAATATTATAATCCTGTTTGTGTGTCCAAGTGTTATGCGTGTCATGCCTTCCAGTAACAATGACAGCTTGCTGTGCGTGAATGTGTAACTCTGAATGACAGTGTGTCAGTGTGTATACACAAAAGAATAGTCATAAACGTTTGTCTCCTTACCGCCTCCACCTCTTTGGAAATGGTGGTTATCTCCTGGGCTTTGGCTCTTAGCTCGTCTCTCTGCTTGTCCACCACCCCCTTAAGCTTCAGCATCACCTCTCGCTCCTGCCGCTGGACTCGGTCTACACACATAAACAGACGTTGTAGGTCAAGAAAACAGTGGCCCTAGACACACGTCCTTTTTGTGAAACTGTTTTCTGTCCCTCTTTGAAGTGATTAGTACACTTCAGGCTATGTTTCTTGGTATACTGTTACATTACAGATCATCAATTGATGACGATTTTCAGTTATGGAATATGCTGCGTCATGCTGTTACATTATATACCTGATGATGGCTAATGAAACCACTTTACTTGTCTATAATACTGAATAATTTATCATGTAATAAACTGAGCAGGTGCTACACGCAGGGTATGAATCTATACAACAAAGCTGAATACTTTCATTACAGCTCAGGGCTTGACGCTAACTTTTTTCCCAAGGAGCACATGTGCTCCTAAGTTGAAAAAGTAAGGAGCGCACAAAGAACTTTAGGGGCACAATGTAAATTGATCAAATAATGTGTTTTCTGTAATAAACGTGATGCAAATAGACGTTTACAAGCAAAATTATTTAATGAATTTGTATACAACATGTACAGAAAGGTAAAATCATCAAGTTTTGAAAAAGTAGGCCTATTGCAATTTAATTTTGTCTTTAATGTTATTATCTTATATATATTATCTCTGCAATATGATGATCTTATATAATGTTATTACTATCCTAAAACATTCTCCAGGTCCTCTGAAACTCTGCAGGACTTAAGCCTCTTTCACACAGAGCTTTAGAGACGCCCACCGCGGGGTAGGGCGCAGAGGACAGGATTTGGGGGAGTACAGGCTCGTTCAGGAGCTACAGCTCCATGGTGACCGCTTCCGGGTCTACTTCAGGCTCTTCTCTGCTATTGGACGCGCGGCACCGAGGTGTCGTCACAGCGCATTGCGGTGAAATTTTAAAAAATTCAATTCGAGCGCAGGCTGGCGGCACGCAGACACTCGCGCCGCTCAGCTCGGCGGCAGAGCGGTGCGCTCTTGCGCCACAGTAGCACATACACAATGCATGGGTTCGTTGGCGGAGGTCTGTGCTTTGTGCGCTCTGTGTGAAAAGGGCTTCCAGCAGCGGTACCGTGGCGAACGGTCCCTAAAGGCCTCTACACATGATCAGCTGTAAAACCGCTTTGCGCTGGCTGTCCCATTGTTTGTCTATGGAGAGGGCAGCAACGCCTGACAAAGTGGCACTGCTACCCTTGGCGTCGCGCACCGCTCTGATTTTCCGCCCGAGCGCTGTGCTCAGAGTTGAAATTATTTGAACTACAGGGAGCACGGAGCAGGCTTCCCCGGAGATCCACCCGGTCCATCTCCTCCACACTTATTTCCACGCTGCCGACAGTGGGACTTATATTCATTGTGCCGACAGTGGCTTGGAAAACCGCCCATAACTGTGTCACACGGGGAAGAGGGAAGGCTGCTGGAGTTCCTCCAACATTTGTGGTTAGATTATCAGATTTTTTTATTGACAAAAATATAGGCTGCTTCGGCTGATTTTTTAATGCGCACATGTGCCCCTAAATATTTTTTACAGTTCGCACACACCTATTTTTAGTCGCAAATGCGAGTGAAACGCTCGCACTGTCGAGCCCTGCAGCTATTCCTACTACTTACATGGTGACAAAATATGTTCAAAGTAACTGTGCAACTGACACCGAGAAAATTTTACCATGTAGGGAGGTCAGAAACTAAACCAAACCCTCTTCTACTTCAAGAAATGTACAGATGACTACTACTGACAGAGAATGCTGCACACAACCTCAATGTTTTACTCAGACTTCAAGGTTCACTTCACCCACGTTACAAAAAAAGCACACTGTATCTCTCGCTTGCTTCGGGTGTTTTCTTGACCTGCAGGTAGTTTTGCTTTTTATGTTAACAGGTTTTGAGATATGTATCTTTAAAATTAAACCACCATCCCAGCATGTAGAGGTTAATAGATTTAAATTTTAGTCCATCCATCCATCCATCCATTTTCATCCGCTTATCCAGGGCAGGGTCGCGGGGGCAGCAGGCCAAGCAAAGCAACCCAGATGTCTTTATTCCCAGTAACACTTTTCGTTTCCTCCTGGGGGACCCCAAGGTGTTCCCAGGCCAGAAGAGATATGTGATCCCTTCAGTGTGTTCTGGGTCCAACCCAGGGCCTCCTACCAGTGGGACATGCCCGAAACACCTCCAGCGGGAGGCGCCCAGGAGGCATCCTGATCAGATGCCTGAACCACCTCAACTGACCCCTTTTGACGCTAAGGAGCAGCGGCTCTACTCAGAGCTCCCTCCAGATGTCTGAGCTCCTTACCCTATCTCTAATGCTGACCCCAGACACCCCACATTTGTATCCGCGATCTCATTCTTTCAGTAACTACCCAGAGCTCATGACCATAGGTGAGGGTTGGGACGTAGATGGACCAGTAAATCGAAAGCTTTGCCTTCCTGCTCAGCTCCCTCTTCACCACGACCGACCAGTGCAGCGCCGGCATCACTGCAGAAGCCCCATCGAATCACTGATCCATCTCACGCTCCATTCTACCCTCACTTGTGAACAAGACCCCGAGTGAGTTTAATTTTAGCGCCAAATACAAATAAAAGACATTTGGAAAATTCAACAACAACATTTTTCCAGAGATAAAGTGCCAATAAATTACAATAATCTGCAAAACTCGCTGTGAACAATTCTGATAGGAAACATTTTTTCACCAAAAGGCGAAACAGTTCACTGAGTGGTCTGGGGTCTATCTAGAGTGACTGAGATACTGTGTTCAGAAAGACATTTTACTGTTGAGTTTATGATACATTTCTTTCATGACTACATATCGCAAATAACATTCCATTCACCTCTATTGTACTGGAGTGAAGGGAGGAATCTATGACGTAGATATCTCACAACCTGGGCAAATGAAACCAAAGCTGTCACACAGATAGATAGCATTCATGGCAAGATGTTTTTCGTTTGTTGTAGGACTGACCTCGTAGACATCCTGCCACTGCATGAAAAACAGATGTGTCTTTTAAACCCCATACTACAGTCCCTTAAAATTAAAATGTACATAAATTGAAATAATAGTCTGCACAACTGACCCCATGTCAGCTGAGTGAGCATGGGAGTCAGCAGTCACATTCATCACACAAAATTAATGATCACAGTCATCTGCCACATGGCCTCCTGTAAAATAAATCACCTAAGTATTAAGAGATCATGTTTTTTCCTGTCAGTACAAAAAAACACAGCAGAGCAACTCCACCCTCAGATTCACATTACTGTGATATGTTATCTGCACGCTGAAAATAATCAGCAAATACAAAAGATGCAAAGGTAATGTCTTTTCTGTTTCACCTTGTCAATTATTAAAATAAAACCGATGAAGATATCAAATGTAAATTCAGTGCACCAACAAGTAATTATTCAGTCAGTTAGCACTGCATTTACAGTTTTGTCTTTATGTTTGCAGGGTAAGAGCAGCCCTCCTCCTCCTCCTTCCTGTGACAACTTCTGCTGCTTTACCTCACAAAATAACTGCACTATAAACATTGCAACGACCTGTTCGACTGCTTTCAGCCTCAGCGCCTGTGACTCTTCACCCAATGCTTTGAATACGCACAGTAATGATGGGGGAGAATTTTCATGGAGCGTACGGTTTCAAACATTTGCATTCTTGGACTCGACTTAGAAAACTACGTAACCAAATGGCCTCAGGGTTGATTTGCTTGTTTAGATACAGTAAGAGCTAATGGCAGCCTTGGATGAATCTTAGTGTTCTAGGGATGGTAGGGCACTAGCACCAAATCCAGATCAAATTCTCAAGCAATTAAGTGTAAAGCATGCTAGACTGTTTCTGTGACATTTGGGGATTGAAAGCCCCTAACACAGGCTTTCACATTTCCAGTTTCAATTGTCCACTGAGCTCTGACAGATGTTAAAAATCGCCATGATTACCTCAGGCTTTATAAAAAGTTAGTGTGGTAGGGACTCTACTGTAGAAAAGTGAAAGTATTTTGTAACTGATTTTGGGAAGTAATTTAACAAACAGCCCAGATTTCAAAAACCCACAGCACATTGTACATTTAAGATCTTGGGACATACCCTCCTGTGCATGGCTGCCCCTCAGCCTGCTCTGCAGCTCCTCCCTGTCCTCCTGGAGCTGCTGCACCTGGGCCTGCAGCTCCTCACACCTCTTCCTCCACTGCTGCTCCTTCTGCTGCAGCTCCTGCTTGAGGGGAGAGGAGACAGGCTGTAAAACATTAACAAGACTTGATGTAATAGCCCTGGGTGCTGATAAAATCTCTCGAGCATGTAGGAATTTGGCTTCTGCAAATCAGGCTGTGTCCAAGCGGGTGTGTCATTTTGTTGTTAAACCATTACAGATGTTTAGTTGATATGTTTCCAACAAATCTCAATGGCAAACTCTGACTTCTGAGAACAACACCTTGTCATTTACTTTCTCAGCCATGATAATGACGCTGTCTTGTCTACAGTGCACTTAGAGTACAGATTACAGTGTAAAGGGTTAGACATGCTGATGGATGAGTGTAAACAAAAGAGATTTCATATGATGGAGAACTGGCGACAATGTACTGTAGGTTAACAGCATAAAACAAATACTTTGTTAAGACTTTAAATTGCAAGATTGGTTGTCAGACAGTCTCACAACAATGACACTATCTGGTGTGTTATGAGACCTAACACACACAGTACAATGGCAGGCTCCTGCTGTGGAAGTACAGTACAAACTTCCCTCTGGCTGCACTGTGACATTACTTGTGTCACGGCAGCATTTCACTGTTCCCCATGTACTTGTTCAAACTGCAGTTCACACTTTGTAACACTGTAGCATGACTTGTTTACAACATAACTAAAGTCAAGTATTTAAGTAGCAATATGCACCTAATATTTGCAGTTTTAGAGCACTGGTATTTGAATAGCTTATGTTTATTTTGTGACACATTATACTTGAATGTTTATTTGCAGAATGAGGTTTCACATATTTGGCTATGTGGAACAGGCACACAGCTGGATTAACCGGCTTTGGAGGATGCAGGCAAAATTGAGCTACTGAGGCCTTGTTAACTCCTGATGTCACACTTTAGAGTGCATATTCCCAGTTCAAGTATTTGTTAATTAAATTTCCATAAACCACTTACAGTACCCAGTGGCCCACTTTGCACTGTTGGTAGGGGTAGGGTAAAAAATCTGTTACATATAGTATTACAATATTTTGCGTGGGAATATATTCTATTTATACTGATATGTAGAAAAAGCATATAATTTTGTTTTAGATAGCTATTGACTATTTAAAAAAAAATAATAAAAAAGGAAATGACGCAGATAGGTTTGCCTTTTTGAGGACATATACAGGAAATGGCACACTTTTTAAATTAGTTAGATTCTCTTTTTATATTAACTTTATCTTCGAACACAGATATATTTCCAAGGTGGTAATCTTGCCCGCCCTCTCTATAGAGTGCCGAAGTCACGCCCCTTCCGGTAGAGCTCATGGGACCTTAGATCGGAAAAAATATGAATGGCAGCGAATGGAGAGAGCAATATTATCTTTTGGTCCCGTTTGTGTTGTGACATGAAATCCAAATATATTCCTGCCATCCTGCAGCTTGGCCTCCCCGCTGAAATTCCACTGTTTTAAAGATGTCTGTGTGTTTTGTTCCAGGTTGCAGTCACTCCAAGCTGCTGGAAACGAGCGAAAGCTATGACGTCACATACGCGACCGCCTCCTGTGTAGTTTTTCAAATTACGTTTTCTTCAAAAGCTTATATCTCAACAGTTTTACCACAAAGTATGACTTTCTTGACCTTAAAATGTCTGTTTTAAATTCATTAACGACATATTTGGATTTCATGTCACAACACAAACGGGACCAAAAGATAATATTTCTCTCCTCATTCACTGCCATTCATATTTTTTCCAATCTAAGGTCCCATGAGCTTCACCGGAAGGGGCGTGACTTCGGCACTCTATGGGCTCCTCCACCAAAGGGGCCCCAGTGCAAATGCACTACCTGCACTGTCTATATTTACGCCCCTGATACTACTTTACATAGCTAGCTGGATTCTTTTTAGCTAGCTTACGTAATTGCTAACATTAGTTACACTGCTCACAGCTAAAATAGAGCTAGCTAAAATAAAGCTAGCTAAAATTGCTGCTGTGTCACATTAACGGTATTTAGCTACACATAGATATTTTACATATTAATATTAACTTATACAGGTTAACAAAAAAATGTAAACTTTGTTAACAATGTTAGCCGTTCGGTTAGCTACAACACCGCGTTAGCCTAATAACTCATGCTGCGGTTGCCTTGACAACACATGGCGGGTGGCAGTGCTGGTATTTCAGGTTATGTGTTTATGTTTTGGCTACATTTGGGAGGCGTCAGCCGTGTACTGTAGCTGTTGGCTCCTCTGCTCCAGTTGATTATTCTGCATTCACATAAAAGCACGACTAAGTTAGTCTGCTTTAACTTCGATAGTAACACCATGTGAATGTGAAATATGCTAACGTTACCTTACGCAAGTAAATGTCTGACAGTATATTTTCCCTAGTAGGCAGCATTGCTAATTAGCTAGCTAGCTTCTTTTTAGCTAACTAACTTAGTTGCTAACATTAGTTACAATGCTCATAATCCTACCAAAGCTAGTTTAAATTACTGTTATGTCATATTGACGTTATGTAGCTAAACACAGACGTTTTGCATACTGTTATTAACTTATACACGTAAGAAAAAACATTAAACGTTGTAAAAAAAATTATATTTCCCCAGTGTTAGCCGTTCAGTTAGCTACAACACCGCATTAGCCTATTAACTGTCATGCTGCGGTTGCCCTGACAACACATGGCAGTTGGCAGTGCTGGTATTTCAGGTTAACGTTAGCGGGTTAATACAGTTAGCCATGAGTCACAGCAAGGCACAGTAACGTTAATACTGTTTGTATTTTAGACAACGCCAGGTCCAGACATAAATACAAAAATACACAAAATATAAAACAGCTCCATATGAGCCTTAAGTATCTTTAATGTTTATGTTACGGCTACATTTGGGAGGCGTCCGCCATGTACTGTAGCTGCCTGTCAACTAGCTAGTCTGCTTTTGGTCACGACACACAGCACGTTACTGTTTGGTGGTTACAGGTTGTTTACAAAACCCCGGGAGGATTAAAACGCTCCCACGTCTCTCACCCGTATTTCATGTTTCTCGTTGCCCTCCTCGCTGTCTTTCCCTCCACGTTTCTTCTGCTGCTGTAGCTGTATGGTCTCAAAGGTTTTGAGCAGCTCCTCTTCCCTCAGTCTGTGAGCATGATTCCTCGACGCGAAGCTCTCCAGCAGCTCCAACACTTTAACTATCTTCGGCACCAGCCCCACGACGCTGTCTTTACCACAGCCGTCGATGAGTTTCTCCACCTCGGTGCCGATCTGTTTGGCTATCTCATACACATCGTCCACAGTTAGAGCTGAGAAGGTCCTGTGAAAACAGCCCTCCGTGTTTTTGGCGTCCGTGTGTGCTTCAGGTGCCTCCATGTCTTGAGTCGCGCCAGTTCACTTCACATGCTCTTCTTAATCTGCTATCGAAACCAACAGTGGCTTGTCAGCGCGACATGACAGCCAGCCGTAAAACAAGAGGGCTATAAATGTGAAAGCAATACAACAGTGCAGGTGTGAAGTTTAAAGTGCGCACATTGTTGATCCCACGCTGCAGACACGCCTGGACTTGACTTACTCCTCTTCCAACACGTCATGCATCTCTAATGTTTGCTCACATAAACACAGCCTACCAAAAAAATTGCAAGAACATCGAGTACTCCGCTGTGAACTATAATACAAGGCTGGACAGTTCAGCACAGTGATCCAGCAGCCTACTAGCTGCAGGATCCTCCTACTTTTCTGACCAATGTAATTCGAGTACACACACACACACACACACACACACACACACACACACACACACACACACGCACACACTACATGCAGAGACTCGCCTGCCAGGTCGAGCATACTGATGCATGCACCAGAGCGTGAACATTGAATTTCCTCTGCAGGTCTGCAGTCAGAAATGCTGACCTATAACTGTCCAATACATGTCAATCACATAACTAAAATTAAAACTTATAAGGCATAAAAGTACATCATAACTTCAGTGTATCAGACTTTAAAGCAGTGAAGAGAATATCCTTTAATATCACACTATTTACCAGATCTTAATGCCAAAATTGCTGACGTGTGCTTGAGCACTTCACTGAAACAAAACCAAGCTGAGTGCTTCACTACAGGCAGTGTTGATGTCTGGTTTCTGCAAAGAGGGAAGCAAGCCAAAAACTTCCCCTGCAGTCTAAATTAACATCACTACTTCTCTTGTGGCTACACACGGTTTTATCAGGCAATCAGAGTGTCAACACATTACACTATAACACAACAAATGTTTATAAAAAATGGTGATCTTTATTTAAACCCAAGCTACAATGTCACAGGATGTACAGCAACGACATCGCAACGGGGCATGACTGGCATGAAAATACAACTTTCAATTTCATTTCTCAAAGAGCTAAGGGGAAATGAGTCTTTACCCTTTTCAAACAATGTTCATTATCAAATGTTACCAGAAGTTTTGTGTACTGAAAACTACACACAAATGCACATACGCTTTTATGTATCACAAGCCACAAAAATCAAAGACTGCATCTTCTTGAAGAAGCTTTACTGTACTCATGGAGGTAAGAGAACAGGGAACAAAACACTTGTAGAAAATATCCAAAAAAAGAAATTAACAGGTTTCTAAAAAAGGTCCTAAAGCCTTCACATAACAAATTTCAAACATCACAGTTACATGTGTTCAATATTACAAGATCTGTTCAGGACTGATTCCACATAGTTATCTACAAAATGTGTTCACAGAGCAGGATGTCTGCTCTCAGGCGTACATGTCCTCACGGTCTGCGTTATAGATCTCACCCTCCTGCAGTGAGGCAAAGTTTAGGAAGTGCGAGGGCCGGTGGACTTCGTGGTAGAACTCCTTGGGGTTTGCCAGCTGCAAGTCGTACTTCATGTTGGGGTCGTGGCGCACACCTGGAGCAAGACAAGTTAACAAAATGGTTATATGAACTTGTCACGTGTCTTTATAAGCCATTGTTTATATAACATTTAATAACAACATAGCGTGCATTAGTAGAGGAAAAAGGAAAAGCTATGGATAGCTATGGATTTTGAGCTGTGAAGCACAAATGCACCATAAAATCAATCAAACTGACACAGGGACAGATCGGAGATATCAATGTACAGCCTGTCACAAATAAAAACACACAGAAGAATTGAGGATATGACAGATTCAAACTCTGTTTTTAAGTAGAATCATTTAGCTAATCTGATAAAATGGCTACTGACCCATGAAGTTGTAGTTCCAGGACACTTGGCCAGGCACCATGAAGAAGCCCAGGAAGCGATCAGACAGCAGCATCTGCACTCTTTCATAGTGGGACGGCAGGTAGCCTTTAGGGTTGTTGCCCTTGTCTGTGTTCTGCCGACCCCACTCATATCCACTGGGTGTCAGCTTGTAGGCTGTGAGCGTGCACGAGCCAGGGGTGAAGCTGAAAACAGGTAAAATGCATTTTATTACCATTCAACTTACAGTCCATTGACATAATGATGACTGGGCTCGTATCAGTAAGTAAGCTAACGTTTTGGCTCCAGGACAAAGTAAGTACACAAAAACGATTGGGTTGTTATTAAACCTACCTGCAAGTGATGATGATGGTCTTCTCTCCGTCCCAAGACGGGTTGTCAGCCATGACCTTGGCATGGGTGGTGACGTCCTGTGGGGACAGCTGAGGCGACTCATTAGGCTGAGTATGGATCCAGCCGAGGGGCTCCATTTCCTGTTGAGGGGAAAGGAAGGAAATGCACTTTAATACTGTTGCAAAGCAGCGAGCATCCATCACGAAATGCTAGGAATGTTCTCTCTAACTGCAGATATGCCTTACTTTAAGGTATTCATGACCAGGCAGCTGGTTGGGCAGGTGGACAGTCTGGTGTGTTCCCCACTGTGGCACCATGACGATACAACGGATCTCCTTCACCTGGGGGTTGTCTGGTGGACTGGTGCCATACAGGTAGCCAGCAATCTGGAACAACACAGTGCACCATCAGTATCTACAGGCTAAGGTTGTTTCTCTACTTTGCACAAACGTTATTTAGGGACCCTCAGGCAGAGATGTCAAGGTTTGCCTGAATATAATTGAAGGAAATAGTTTGTTTCTAAACTGTGTCAGTAGGTATGCCCCACATACCTGTGCTCGCAGATCTGAGATGCAGATAAACTTCTTGAGGACGTTCTTGGGCAGGATGTAGGTGTAGCCTGTCTCCTTGATGTCATCAGATGACACGTAGATGTGGTTGGTTCGGAGGTGGAGATTGGCAGCAGATATGGCCCTGACAGAGGAGGAACAAGAAACATTACAGCCAAACATTATGACTGCCTTGTTACCCATTTACAACAAGCTATGGAGGTTATTGTTCTTTATGGCTCATAAACTGAGTCCTGAGTGAGGACATGCCCCAAAATAAAGTCTAAAATCAAAACAAGCTATCTGCTTACCTGACCCTCCATTCAGTCTTTGAGGAGAAGGTCTGGGTCTCGTAGTTGGAGGTGGTGGAGGTGATGATCTCGTCACCGTGCTTGTTGACAGTTCGGGTCTGCGTGGCCGTGAGCTGTGACTGCTCCTTGGTCTGCTTCTCAATCTCGGCAATCTGCTGTCGCTGCTGTGACGGAGCTGAGATCTCCATACCCAGGATAATGTCACGGATCTCAGACTGGGTCAGTGAGGCCACGTTCACGCTGGATGAAGACAAAGAAGCATTGGCTACTAAATACAAGTCTGGCTTTATTCTGTTCTATTAAGTTACAATAAATTCGTATCAAAAATCTATCTGAGGAACATATTACATTCATTTTAGGCAAATATTCAGTCCATGAATTAATACTCACTTGTTCTTTTTGCCATAATCTGCCAGAATGAGATCTTTGAGTTGCACTTCCACCTTGATCCACTCCTCATCAGTGAGCGTGGGCCAGATGTGATGGGGCTCGGTGATAGTTGTTTTGTCAGGTTTCAGGATCACTTTGGCGCGGTCATTGTTGACGTGGAGTGCTCTGAGGATCAGGATGAGTCGGGAGAAGGCCTAGAGATTGGGGCAGACCACCAAACACAAACTATTTACACAGGGGAATAAGTTGATGTCACCAAAATTAAAGGCACTATAAAACATTTGAAACATTTTATCCTGGTCGTGGGGCTCCTGTGGGATGGTGTGAAACTCACTGTGTAAGACGAGATGGTCTTGAGCCAGTCGTCGTAGAGGTTGAACAGCACCATCTGAGGCTCTGTAGCCTTCAGGATCAGGTCTCCAAACTTCTCCACCTTCAGACAGGCCTGGAAGGGCAGCTGCAACTCAGAACCTTTGATCACGATGTTGGGGAAGTCGAGCAAGTGGACCTGCACAGAGAGAACATCGGCATCAGATCTGAAAAGCATTCGAGTATATATCCAACTTTCAGGAATTACACAGAGATGATCCATCAAGGTTTGTTAAGGCAGTTCTTAACACAAAAGAGTCTCACCTCCAGAGGATCCAACATGCCCTTCCTGGTTACAATGATCTGTTTCGGCTGCTCCTCCACAGGGAGGGAGCGAATCAGGGCAGCCACTTCTTCAGCTGTCTTCCATTTGGCCAGCTACAGAGACAAGGCAGGAATAAAGTTAGTCATGCAGGAAGGAATGAACAAAACAAACCAAATATACATTTGCAATGATAGAAGAAGGCCTTTTTCCCGGAACAAATAATTTAAAATTAACATTATTAAGAGAGTTTGAACAACAAATAAGAATAAAATAAATAAAATATAAATAAAATAAATAAACACAATACAAATCAGAATAAATCAATACAAAAAGCAGAGCTGATGATAACAGAAGTGAGGAGTGGTGGAGCAGGGCCGTACCTGTCCAAGACGTTTCTGTCCGGCCCACACAGACGTGTGAATGATCTTCAGAAAGAGCTGACCCGTCCTGGGGTTGAAGATGAAAATAGCTCCATTGATGGGCTTCGTGGTCAAGTTACCCTCAAAGGTCTGTTGAGATAAACGGAGAATACATGTGACTAAACTAAAGGATAATCCTCATATATCTCTATGCATAAGCAGTATATTCAGACACTTTATTTACAACAAACCGTGCATCATTACTGCATGACAACAGTGAGTCTCACCTTGTGGATGGTGACTCGGTACACGTTGGTGTCATCCACAAACCAGATGATCTGGTTGGAGAAGAGTTCACCGTAGTTCTGTGAGGACAGGTACGGCTCAGTGGGCTCGGAAGAATACAGCTGCAGACCTTTGCGGATGCGCTCCCTGAGCACATACAGGGCAGGGTTGGCCTTCATGATTTTGGCCATGGCCTGCTGGATCAGAGGCTTGCTTCCAGGGAACCAGTTACCATAGGCACTGAGGAGGAGATAAAGACAGATCAATTTAAATACTAACTTAAGATTGTTATTTTTCACCATCCTTTCCTCTGTTGATAGTTAGAGAAAATCACTACATCTACCAAACAACCATCTGAACTGACTTGCTATCGAATGTACTACAGTTACTTTCTGTCAAACAAGTTAGGAAGGTAGTGTGAGGACTTCAAAGGCCACTGCAGAACATATCTGTTGACATGAACAAGTGGGTGCCAAAATCCAGGCAATGCTGTGAAGCAATTGCTGCACAATGTTCTGGTCTATTTTTATACACCTGTAACAAACTGGGGCTCACTTTAACTCACGGCTTTGTCCTCTTCAGCCACAAAGTATTGCCACTTGGTTA